CTTGGGGGTGCAATGACTAATCCAGGGGTAGCTATAGCGCCCCCTAGCACCCCCCTGGTGCTGCCACTATTTAAGATATTGTTTGTTTTTAAAGCCCTACACGACCTAGCTCATCCTTATCTGTCCGACCTGCTGACTCCCTATATGCGTACTCGTATGTTGAGGTCAGCTGACCGTCTACTGCTTTGCACTCCCCGGATGGCCTACAAATCACGAGGTGAACGTTTGTCCATGCTGCCCCCACGCTCTGGAACTCACTGCCCATTACAGTTAGGCTGGCATCCTTTCTGTCTGTTTTTAAATCTCGTTTAAAACCCTACTTTTATGACTTGGCTTTTAGACAGTGATTCGTATTATCGTACTGTGATTTTATAGTTTTTATTGTTGTGTTTTATCTTCTTATTGTTTTTACTTTTGTTTTAAGTGATCCTGCCTGTTCAGCACTTGGGTCAGCTCTCACGCTGTGTCTTAAAGTGTGCTATAGAAATAAATTTGGTGTGGTATGGTAAAAAAAGAGCTAAAAACAATAAAAATAGTGATCAAAAACATTAAAATGTGAATAAAATCAGATCTAAAATACAGCTTAAGCCTTGCTTTAAAAGTGGGCAGTGACGTGGACGGCTTGATTTCTCGTGGGAGTTGGTTCCAAAGCCGAGGACCCAGAACTGCAAATGCACGATCACCCCTAGACTTACGCTTTGATGGCGGTACACCAAAAGGTCACTCTGAACCAAACGTAGCGATCTTGCAGGGACATAACAGGTCAGCAGGAAGGCTAAATACGGTGGCGCTGATAAAATATGATCAAATATCACTGTTGGCGCCAGAGCCGTGTCCAGGACTTTTAAAATGGGGTGGCCCATGTGGGGCACTTGTTAATTCATGGGTGGCACCAATGGTTATGTTTATTTATTTATTTACACAAATCGTTAATTTATTTATTTACTTTCTATTGAATTTTTGAGTTTCACATTGCACAATCATCATTTTTTCCCCCTCTTCATATTCTACTTTTGTGGTGGTTAGCAAGCCACTTCTTGTTGCATTACTGCCACCAACTGGAGTTGAGTGGGACTCTAAGTACTATGTATGTGAATATGAAAAAATATTAAATGATATTAATACTACATGCCTGGGCTAGAAAACAAGGTGAAAGGTGCATGCAACCACACACTATTTTGAAGTTTACAACCCAAGCCTTTTGTCGACAATGTAAAGTCAATTCAAACTGGAACTTAGTGGGGTGGCACCTGGGGTGGCCAATCACATTCTAAGGGTGGCATGTGCTACCCCAGGCCACTCCCTGGACATGCCCCTGGGCACTAGTGAGATGTCATTTATCATATATACCAGCATCAGCGTGAATTTATACCTGGAAGTAAAGAGCTTTGTTCTTGTGAAACTCCGCCCACACCCGCTCAGACGAGTAGTGCCTACAAGAGCATTGTAGCCGAGCCAGTTGGTACGCTGGCCACGGTAGTCCAGGGGTTAAGGTCTGGGCACTTTAACCGCCGGACTACCACGTCTGCCACATGACACCAGTCGTCTAACACACATAGCCTGTGCTGGCGAAAGGAGACAGGTCATCAGCGGGGCCTGAAGGCGAGATTTGTTTCTATTAACGCTTTACGAGATTTTCATAAGTAAAACTCAAAATTTGCAGCTGAAACAGGAAAATGCACGAATGTGGCCAAAACCTAGTTTGGGTTTCGTTTTCATGATAAATAACAATATAACATTGTGAAAAGCTCTTAAAAGTGGATTTTCCATGATGCGGCCCCTTTTGAAGAATACTAAGCAGTTTTGGCTTTCTTTAGCGCCCCCTAGTGTATGTTAGTGAAAGCAACAGTGAAACTCGTCTCTTCGCTGTCCGTTTGTCTTTTTAACTTAATCTAACTGCTGAAATGTCTCCCTGGCCTTTGTGTCTACAGGAGTGATTCACCACTAAACAAACCAGCTGTGTTCGTGCAGGAAACGCGCTGGAAGCAGACTGCAGCACTGGCCTGTCAGCTCCACTTTATTAAGCCCAACAGGGACTGTCACTCTGACGTTGCAAGCACCGTATCATGGCCATAGAGGGCAGTGGGGGTCTGAGGGACTTTTCATTAACCCTGTAAAGGGTCATTTTAGCACTTACTGGCTCAAGAAAACGACTTAACATGAAAAAGTTGCACACTATCCCTTTAATCTATCAGACATGAACGTATGACCAAGTTTCTTTAGAACATCAGTTTCATTTGAACTCATTCTTCCTAATGATGAACACAAACTATTTTGTTCCGGTTTCTTTCACACAGTGAAAACTTAGCATCACCACATGTAAAAATCCCACATTTATTCTACTTTCTGTAATATTTCGAGCCTTTTCAGTACGTTATAAAAGTGACCTATTTGTTTTTTTCTCCCCTCACAAATTACTTTCTTTCATGCTCTTTCTCTTGCTCATCTCCTTCTATTCATCTCTGTCAGTCCTTCCCTGAATGTGCCGCGTGTGTCTTGTTGTCTGTCCTTGCAAGGAGGACAAATGTAAGACAAGATGTGGGACTCTTTTACACGTTTATTCGCATAGATGGAGTCACTTTTAGTGAAACACGCGGTTTAGGTGTGCAAAATCTCTTTAAAAAGTGTCTTATTCTGGGTCGCAGCTGCTAAGACGGAAACACACACTTGTAACCTCCTCTTTAGCGCTTCATTTACAACACACACACATGCTGTGTGTCCCCCGAGCGTCCTGTCACTCTTCTAGATGTTCACCATCAAACAGAGGTGTGCAGCGTCCATGTGAAAAGAGACAAAACCGCGTCCTTCCTGCTTTTATTCCAGACTGATTCAACATTTCTGCACTGATTATGGGTCAAGTCCACTGAGAGAAAGAGGCTTCCGAATGAAAAACACTGTGAAATAATAAGATTATACATTGCAGACAAAAACACACAAATCAAACCGTGCACTTGTGTTTCTATGAGGCTTTAGCTGCTAGTGTTTGTGTGGAAATCACTTTAAGACCCAGCATTTTTTTTTCCCACGTCTGAAATAATGCGGCGTTATGAAAGCCAAAAACTTAGAATTAGCAGCAGAATGCGGCGTGTAATTAAACAAGTTGTTTTTCATTTACAATCCAAATGGATAATTTAAGCAGCCATGCACGAGAGGGAAGAATGAACCGGCTGTACTCAGGAGCCAGCGCTCCAAACAGCACCTACACTGCAATTACTGCAGAGAGATAGGTGTGTTGTGTGTGTGTGTGTGTGTGTGTGTGTGTGTGTGTGTGTGTGTGTGTGTGTGTGTGTGTGTGTGTGTGTGTGTGTGTGTGTGTGTGTGTGTGTGTGTGTGCCAAGTTAATGGCTGTATGGAGGCAACAGTCTAAATGTTTTCATCTGAAACATTTTATCCTGCTTCACCTCACTCAGCCACCGTCACACAGCAAACTCCGAGGCAGGAAACACAGCAGGGAGAAAACAAAAATGGGCCGACATCCGTGCACGTCAGTCTCCCCACAAATATATGTTTTAGAATATTTAAGGGATTTCTACATGCTTTTTGAAGCATTGTTGGCTGTTGAAAGAAAAGAAAAGAGTTTGTGACCTGAAAATGTGAAATTAGAGAAGCTATAAATAAACACAAAGACTTTTGACTCCTTAATGATTATTTATTAGTAAGCTGATTCAGCAAAGCAACATGACACAGCAGCAAACTTTAATTAATTTAAAATAATAGGTAATCATTTTTACATTTTTTTCACCACGACTCATTGACATTTAGTTGTAGTAATAACAAAAATGTGCAGAAAAATCATAATTTAAGTTTTTATACAACTTTTTTGATAAAAAAAACTTTTTCTTTTAATTATTTTAAACACGTTGTGAAATTTGTACTTATTTTACAAAGTCCTTTTTTTTTTTTTTTTTTTTTTTTTTTTTTGTCCATAGATAGAATCTAAACTTAGACACAAGAGTTACATTTATGACTTGGTTCCAACATGAGAAACCAGTAAAAGCTGACTGGGCGGGATGTTTACTGTCCTCATGAGATCCTCAGTCAGGGAACTTTTCTGTCAACTAAATGGAATTAATTGTCAGAAAAAATATGTAACCATTTATCTGTTTCTTTTAGAAAGGCTAACATACTGCAAAATGTCTCTAACTGTAACCGCGATGAGATTAAGGAAATTTTCACCTTCATGTCAGTAAAAGTGAATAAAAGTACCTGTTTGGAAGTCAATCGCTGTGAGCCCCCAAATTACTCATTCGTCAAAAAATGTAGTCAGAACGTTAATCATGCAGTGGAATCCAGTCATTCTTCCGTTTATGTCTAGTTTTTGTTAGGAAAAAGCATGCAGTTAGTTGAAGTGTGAAAAGTACCCGATTTGTTTTATGTGTGAACTCTTTGAGGTTGTAAGAAGGGTGGAAATCAGTTTCATGCTCATGTGGCTCCCTCTAGTGGTCACTCACCGCTGTTGCATCCTGTCCACAACTGTTGAATGAACTTTATATTTTTTTCATTTTGTGAAAGATGGACAAGAAAAAGCTAAACAAAGACTACTTTATGTAAACAATGGTATGATGCTTTTAATGATGTTTTTAATAAATCGTTTTCGGAAATGCGAAGTTGATATATGTAACAAAATGATTTTTGCATTTTGAATATAATATTATAATATATAAAAGCAAAAAACTTTTGAGATTAAACATTCATAAGAGGCAAAAACTGTAAATGACTGTAGTTTAAAGTATAATGTCGACAACAATTCACTTATTATTAAAAAATAAACTGAAGTTTTAAAAACTATATCTGTGAAACAAAAAACAAATTATGGGTATCATACCTAAATGGTTCCGTTCCGTTACTATTTACAACAGGTTATAACTTTTGAACAAACTTATTCAGTCATTATACTTTGACTACGGTCGTACTGCAATTTTAAACTTACATATTTTCGAAAGACAAAAACGTCATTTATTAATCGAGTGCAGCTTTACGTAAGGGGACTTTCCGTTGTTTGGAACGCAGCCCGATCCGGACCGGTTCATTGCGTCACATCAAAACAAAGTTTTACGGGTTCAAGCTAGTTTGTTAGCCTGCGAGTTGCGTACAGAACTTTCAAGTACGTTTTCTAGCCGTGGTAGCCACTTTTTTCAATTCAGTTCAATTTTTGTTTTATTTGACAGAGTGAGTTTTATCGGCGTGTGTTAGATTTATGTAAGAAACGTTTGTGGCGTTTTTACAAATAGCCAACTAGCGTGTTTAGCTAGCGTTTAGGTGCTATCAGTTTGACTTGTCAGCCTGCCTCAGTTTTTTTAGCCTTGAATGCTAACTGTCGGCAACGTGACATGAAGTGAAGTGATGAAGTTATGGAGGAGCAAAAGCTAAAGAGAAAAAGTACCAAGTCCTCCACCAACACATCGGCCCCGACAGGAGGCTCTGGCCGGAAGAACAGCTCTTCGTCCGGCGGCAGACATGTCGGCTACAGCCACAACGCGGGGGCTAATTCCAGCCAAAAAAGCAGGAGCAGGAGGTAGCATCTTTACATCCTGAACGCATATTTCTTCTCTAATGCACTCAAATCTTTAACTTGTCTTGTAATTATATTTCATCAGGGTTATTTATGTCATTCAAGCTGTCGTTGTGAGTGTTTTTGTTCGCTTTTTGCAGAGGAATCAGAGACAAACCCAAAAATCTGCCGGGTTCAGCTGTTAAAGCTAACCAGAACCAGGGCCAGGCTGCACCCAGCACCCAGCACTCGTTTCTGACGGATGTCTCAGATGTCCAGGAGATGGAGAATGGCCTGCTCAGTCTCCTCAACGACTTCCACTCAGGGAAATTACAGGCATTTGGTAAGATCAGTACTGTTGGCTGTGTGTTTACAGAAAGCAGTGTTTTACGTTTGACCCCCTAAAACGTGGAGATCTGAGAAATGAGTCAAATGTACAGTGTTGAGGAAAAGTATTTCCTCCTTGTTTTGGGTAGTTGTTTGTCTCTTAAATGTAGCAGATCAGCAAATAAATGTCAGTATCAGACAGATGATGTGAGTTAACACAAAAGACTGTCTTATGATTATTTTGTTTTAGAGAGCAAAGCTTTACATTCTGCCTCTATGCGCAAAAATGTTCACCTCCCATTGTTAAAGCATTAAAGAAAACTGTATTAAACACATTATTCAGAAAGCCTGATTGCCACCAGAACTGTACAAGTAAGAAATCACGTAATTAAAAACTGTCTAAAAACTATAAATAGGGTAAAAAGTCTCAAAAAGCAACACGTCCAGCATTGCCTCAGATACATTCAAATTAAAACAAACCCCGAACATCTAAAGTCCCTCAGTCCCAACTATGTTAGGGTCAGAGGTCGTGATCGAAAGCTTAATTTTGTACTAACTCAGGCCGCTTTTGATACTGCATTAAGAAACACATTCACTAAGGCGGGGTTGTTTTATTTTGGGTCTCAGGTAACGAGTGCTCCATCGACCAGATGGAGCACGTCAGAGAAATGCAGGAGAAGCTAGCACGCTTGCACTTTGACCTCTATGGTGAAGTCGATGAAATGCCAGAGGACCAGAAGAAAACCGCCTGTGACGCCAACATGGACAAGTTACTTCTTAACGTAAGAGTTTTAGAAATTTTAAATCATCTGTGATTGAAGTAAGTTAATCAGATCTCCGTTTTTTATTCCTCTCCACAGCTCGAGGAGCTGAGTTCCTCCATGTATCCTTCTAAAGTTTAAAAGTGTCTCTTTGGGTTATCTGAAGCCTAAAGCATCTGCTTTTATTACACTTGACCCTACACCTTCAGTCAGAAACTGAATTTAGCCGACACCCAAGAAATCCAGAGGACGTCCAGCATGTGATGTTTTTTTTTTTTTCTTATTTCATCTTTTCTAAAGCTTTGCTGTTGTTTCCGTACGCTTGTCAGGAATGTAACAAATAAGAACAAGTGAAACAAATGTAATGTTTTTATTACTTTTAAGAGAAACTCCAGCAAAGCTGTCCGCTGTTGTGTGGTTTTGATACCAGATTTTACAGCGGGGCTCCAGCTGCTAAAAGAAAAATAACATCTTATTTTACTTAAGAACAAAGTGTGATAAATGAGCTGCTTCGTGTGGTTTGACTTTTGTCTATCGTGATCGTTTTAAAGCAAAAATCTGGAGTTTTTTACTCAGAAGACACCATCTAGAGGTAGAAAAACGTATTGCACATGAAACCACTCTTCCTACTTCTATGATTACGACTAGAAGCAACGCCTCTCTTTTGTGATTGCACACCTCACACGACTCAGCTAAAACATAGTTTTACTGTTATTATGCTGCTTATTCATATATACACTACCGGACAAAAGTTTTAGAACACCCCAATTTTTCCAGCTTTTTATTGGAAATGATGCAGTTTATTGACACATTGCACTCTGAAATTAAAGCATAGTACAAATAAGCAATCGGAGTTAAAAAGGAAATCATGGAAACAGTTTATAGCCCAAATGTATTAAAAAATTTTGACTCATCAAAGTATAACAGCTGAACACACTCGTGGCATTCTTTCTACAATAGAAATGAAATAATCTTCCATGTCTGTTGCAGAAGTTCCCATAAATGTGTGGCGCTTGTAGGTTGCTTTGCTTTCACTCTTCTGTCCAGTTCATCCCAAACCAGCTCCGTGGGGTTTAAGTCTGGAGACTGTGCTGGCCACTCCATGTTTTCAAGCTCACCATGCTGTTCTTTTTTCCTGAGGTAGTTCTGGCACAGCTTGGACTTATGTTTAGGGTCACTATCTTGCTGTAGGATGAGCCCCTGGCCTACTAGTTGCATACCACAGGGTACTGTACAAGTCGCCGAGCCTGGATCCAGCAAAACAGCCGCAAACCATCACACTTCCTTCTCCGTGTTTGACAATTGATGCCACACACGGTGGCATGACAAAAGCCTTTTTGAGTAACCTTACTTTTTTTTTAACCTTTGGCAGTTCACCACTAAACTAGTTCACTGCCAGCCGTTTCCTGATCAGTAAAGCCCTTCACTGCCAGCGTTTTTCAGCGTTTTCACAGAACGTTGCACGCTAGGATGATGACGCCAAAACAAAGTGGAGACTCACCTCTTGCATCAGGAAGAGTCGGCGTGTTTCGAGCTTTATCCGTTCTTCCATAATCCGTTGTTGAATTGTGATCGGCAGACGCTTTTCCGGTTCGCGCCTCACTTTTTTTACAGCAGCGGCCCAAAACGATCTCCTAACACATGGATTTTCTGCTTCCTGATCACGTGACGCGGTGACGTACACGAATGAAGATCGGCTTTAGAGCTGAGATGTTAATTCTCACGATGCGGGGGCTCGTTCCGACGCCCACACAGTAAAAACATGAAAATGACGACTTTATGTGTCCACATATGTGATCGACATCTGTACGTAAGCGGATGTCTAATGCTATTGGCTAATGCTAAGTGGCACTCCATTAAAATTGCATGGGGCTCTAAGTGATGAGGGACGGTCTTAACAAAATAAAACGGACATATTGCCTCCATTTAGGGCTGGGCGATATGGCCTAAAATCAATGTCCCGATATATTGAGGATTTCACCTCGATAACGATAAACGGACGATAACTTCAGCTGCGCGCAGAAACAAAGGTTGTCCACTAGATGGGGCTGTCACATGTATTACGTTGAGTCACATTTTTACGTGACTAAAGGCGGTACAGCTTCTTAAAGGGACATGAACGTTGCCAACCTACACACATCCTTTAATTTTTTTTATTATCAAACTTATTGACATGGGAAAAATTGTCTCTAAATGCTAAACTTTTGATTTTTGCCCAGCTCATCCTCCATTATATCATATCACAATGTAAGACGATCTCTTACAGATTTCTAAAAAGGCATGCATAATTCCCGAAAGGGGGAAAACTCCGGATTTCTGTTTTAATGTGTGTTTTAATTCCCAAACAGCTTAGATTTGGAGAATGTTGCTAACCAAAGTCATCTAAACACAATCCTTATATCACTGCTAAAGACCCAGGTCTTCACTTCTAAAATCATGAACACAGAAATGTTTATAATTGCCTTTACTTACAGCTTTAATCAGACTAGAACATAAATAATGATTCGATGTATAGAAATTGGTGAAATATTTTAAATCTGCCAAAAGAAAAGCAGCATTATGCACATTAGATTGTGATTATGTTAGTTCCTGATTTCCTTTCTGCTCGTGTGGCCTGATCACACCTCCAGCTTCTAAGTGTTACACGTATTTGCACAGAAAACACAAAACAACTTCAGTTGTTATCACAATCATGCCTTAATTTTTATTAATTAGCAAATGTTCTGCCTTTATTGGTTTGTAACATTTTGCTTTAGAGTTTGAAAGATCGCATTGATGCTGCTTTAAATCAGATTAGATTTTCTGATTTTAAGGAGAATTTTTGAGGTCTGTGGTTTTTTTTATCATGGACTTTTTGTTGTTTTTTTAATTGATAATCTAATAAATATGTTAAAAATGAAGAATTGCTTGACTTTATTTTATTTTTAGTGAGCACTGTTAAATTATTCTTCATGTACGGTGTCCTTTTCAGGACATTCTTGGGTGTACAAAAACCTCTTCAGAAGTCAGATGTTGGATAGAAAAAGTTGGCAGGGAAACAGACTTAATTATTTAAAACTGAAAGCTAAATCTGTAAAACACAATTTGTGATTTGTTAGACCTGGATTATGTTGGTGAAAGTTTAAGGGACGCTTTTGTCCCGAAACCAGATTAAAACAATACTCATGTAAAGGCACTAGCAGGTCTTTGACTTCAAATATAACTAATGTCCCACGAATCACCAACGGTTGAAGTGTCACATCCAGGTTTAACGTTATAATGGATTCTGGAACACGTGGAAAAATAATTATTTTTCCATATTTTCTTTGTTTTATGTACGGTGGCCCAGCAACTTTAACAAAATGCAAAAGCTGATGAAGGATAAATGATCTGAATTTCTGAAACAGGGCTCTTAACATTACAGTGAATTATTCATCCATTCACAAACTGATGATGAGCTACGTCGTAGCCACAGCGGCCCTGGGGCACTCTGACCCCTTCATTCCATCGCACGTGAAAGCGCTCAACCAGCGTGAGAACCAGGGGGGTCTTTACAGTAAGTGTACAAAAATATGTATAGATTAGTGATGTGTCGGTCGCGAACGAACCGGCTCTAAGAGCCGGCTCTTTGAAGTGAACGACGGGAGCTGGCTCGTCATTGGAAGCCGTCCCCTCCCCCCTCCCCCCTGCCTTGATGAAAGCTACAGGCGATTGGTCAACATGTGTAACTGTGTGTCCAGACTGTCCACACACAGAGCAGTAGGGGCGGGGAAGAGGGAGGATCATGCCCAGACAGACACACAGCACACATGTGGGAGGAGGGAGACGAGAGGGAATGAGGAGGAGGAAAAAGGCGATCGAGAGAGAGGAGAGTGCGATGAAGACGGTGAGAAAATGAGCGCCAGCAGTCGGAAAGTCGAGATTTCTTAAAGTGTTCAGTTATTAAATCCATAGAAATGATAAATATTTGATATATTGCTTTTTTTACATTAGTAAATTATTTAACATATAGTTTAGCACTATTTTGGTTATAAATGTACTCTACGCAACAGAAAATCTGAGGAGCCACTTGGGAGCGGAAAGAGTCGGCTCTTTTTGGTGAGCTGAGCCAAAAGAACCGGCTCTCTAAAAAGAGCCGGAATTCCCATCACTAGTACAGTATAGAACTACAGCTTAGAGGCTTTTTCATGCAATGTCAGGAATAAAGAACAGTCAAGTATACAGGTGGCAGTAATGGCCAATCACACGTTAGCAAGTGTCAATAGATGAGTTTATGGACTAATGGGAAACGGGCTTCAACACAAGCGCTTGTTTTCCACTTGGTCCTAGTGCTCAACAGTGTCCATTTAATGTATTGTTTTAGGATGTTGGTGACATCATCTTTTTAGCCACAGCCATGTGGTGAAGGACAAAAGAGTGTCTGGGCCTGCTGGGATAAATCTGATCTAATCCGTGAGATTATATCTGGTCCCAGTCCAGCCCCTCAGTGTCATGTTTTTTGTTGTAATATTTACATCATTTTAGATTATTCTATCGTTCAAGTGCATACAAATGACTAACTTGAACTATCATGCCAATTTTTGACAAAACCCCCGTTGTTATTATAATACAAATGCAAATGATGCGGTTGTAACCATGCTTGTTTGTTTATTAATGTCCAGGCCTGATGTGGCTGTGAAGGAATGCTCTCCTGGCTCTGTTGATGCGTCTCTATGGTTACAGTCGGCGGAAGCAGCCTGTCTCAGAGAAGGAAACTGAGAATTACTTGAATTTTTTAATCTAAAGTTAATAATTGCGGGCAAAAGATGGCGACGGCTCCGTTTTCCGCCCCACACTCGGTGAAACTGTGGCAGCTGAACGGGACGGACTACCAGCCGCAGAGAGGCCTCGGAGTGCGGACAGAGACCCGGTTCAGCACCTGGACCCCTCTGAACCACCAGCAGAGCAACCTGCAGGTCAGAGACTGAACAGGTGTTCAGGCACAGGCAGCAGCTCATCAAGCTAGGTGACCAAAGCTGGTGCTGCATAAACGGTTTTATTAACTCACCTGCCTTTTCTAGCTACATTAGCATTTCTGTTGTTGAATAAACCAGTTTATCTTCAGACACGATACTAGGTCGAGTTTTTACACATTTCTGTGTAAATTATTGGAGTTTTCATGTTTGGGAGAGAAGTGTTTGTTTAATTTAGCATACGTGGATGCTAATGCCAGCTAACGCCTCTGCTCTTCAAAACGTTTTTAAGGATAAAATAAGTATTCTTTACTTAGTGTTTTTTGGTTTAGGCTAACGGATTAATAAAAAAAAGTCATTTAAATGTGATTTTAGTTTATAGCTATTTGAACAACCTCAGTTTGGAGAAACAGTTTAATTCCGACCAGAGCAAACAGGTGAGCTTTAGGACACAATATCGAGTTTATATTGGTTTTATCTTAACTGTTATAGCAAATTAGAAAAACAAATGGTCTTAAAGCCATACAGTGTTTTCATATTTTTAAAGATCAAGTCAAGTCAAATCAGCAATTTTTTTTTGCTGATAAAAAAATTTAAATGGGTGTCCAATCATGCTGAAGACACATGAAGTCAATAATTTAGCTCTTTAGTGCATCTTAGTGAATCTTAGTTAAAATGTAAATATTGTTCCTCAAACTGACAGTGTTGCTCCCTCTTCAGGTAAAAACTCTGCACTGCATTTTTATTTAAATCTGCCATTGCTATTGGCTAAGAGGTTCACTATAAGGATGTACATAGTTAACTGGTTAATTGCAGTTAATGTTGTAATCAGGTAAAATAATTTTGCCCAGTTAATTGCTTCAGATACTTCTGCTGCGTTTGAGTGCAATATATTTTGTGCCACTAGAGGGTCGCTATCAAAATGTTTACTGGGCAACCACAGAAGAAGAAATGACCTCATCACGTAACCAAACCAATGTCCTCAAACACGGAGCGGTTAGCGAAGAGCACGGCGTAGGAGCAGTGTATTCTTAGTTATTTCATCCTTGGAGCACAATAAGCCTCTGAGCCTGGCAGAACATGGCGCTGAACCGAGAAAACAGGTCAGTCTGGCATGGCGCTCCTTTTTGCATCTGACTCCTTTGTCTGGTAAAACAAAGAAATGTCAGTGTAAATATTTATTACTGTGATGTTAGCTGGTACATTATGATGTCCCAATGTTGTTGATAGGGGGTGACTTGCTTTTTAAAGAACATGCCATCCCCTACCACAGTCCTACTCCACTTCCTGTTTGAAAAATGCAATAAATGCTTTTGCCTGGCAGACCGAGGGGGTGGAGCCGCTAACAAATTCACACACACACAGGCTCACAACAACATTGTGACCTCATCACGTAATTGAATTCAATTCAATTAAAAAATACTTTATTAATCCCAGGGGGAAATTGATTGCTGTAGTAGCTCAGAATAATAATAATAATCAAGTCATCAAAGAGTTGTTGTATATTACAATGGCTGTTGGCAGGAAGGATCTCCAGTAGCGGTCAGTGTTGCAGCCAAACTGAAGAAGCCTCTGACTGAAGACACTCTTCTGTTGTCAGACAGTCTTGTGAAGAGAATGCTCAGGGTTGTCCATCATTTTCTTGATTCTCTGGAGAATCCTTCTTTGCATCATCTCCTCCAGTGGTTCCGAAACTGCCGAAACTCTGGCTGAGTCCTTGAAAGGGCTTGGAGTTCCTCCATCTTGTTGGCCAGTGATCTCACATTGCCCATTATGATCGATGGAAGAGATGGTTTGAATTTCCTCTCTCACTGTCTCCGTTTTGCTCCCGCTCTGCATCCACGCTTCTTGTGTTTTAGCTCATTTGGGATTTGTGGCTTCAGTTGAGGTAATATTTCAGCCTTTCCAATGTTAATCAGCTGCTCCTGATTGTAAACCATTTGTTGCCATGGTTACGCATCATAACAAATGCTCAAAAAGCTAAAAAAGCTAAAAAAATAGCAGTAAAAATCCTCCAAGCTTCACAGCACCAGAAACAGAAAAGTAAAATGTCCAAAAAAATACAGTTTTTCTTGAGAAACTAGAAGAAAAAATGCCCAAGAAAAGGCAAAACTTACATATAGTCAACAGAGCTACTCCAACATGCAGCCGCCCAGAGCAGCGCAGTTCCGGAAAGACAAACCAATGTGCTCAAACACGGAGCGGTTAGCGAAGAGCACGGCGTAGGAGCAGTTTATTCTTAGTTATTTCATTCTTGGAGCACAATAAGCCTCTGAGCCTGGCAGAACATGGCGCTGAACCGAGACTAGGACAGGGTTCGGCATCATAGTTCTTAGCCAATAGTGATGGCAGATTTAAATTAAAATGCAGTGCAGAGTTTTTACCTGAAGATGGCGCAACACTGACAGTTTTAGGCAGAATATTTACATTTTAACTAAGATTCACTAAAATACCAAATAACTGACTGTGCCGCAGCACGATTAGACACTCAGTTATATAGTTTATCGGCAAAAAACAGTTGATTTGGGGGTGACTTGCTCTTTAAATCCCGATCCCAATGCTCGCACTGCGCCCTACGGAAGTGCACTTGAATGAAATGCCCAGGAAGACTTTGAGCGCCTGGTACACAAGTGTGCACATAATCGATGAATTGAAACGTCAGAGTTGCTGATCCGTTCTTTGGACGTAGAAAAAAATGGAGTTGACAACATGCCTGGCGCTGCAGTCTGGTTCCAGGGTGATTCCTGCATGTTTTAGATAATGATCACAGCTGATTTGTTTAATTTTAGTGATGAAATCACTCCTGTAGACACCAATGAAGGCAGAGGAGACATTTTAGCTGTTAGATCAAGATGTTAAAATGGCGAATGCACTGCGAGGAGATAAGTTTCATTTTTGGTTTGACCACAGAGAATAAATAACGGACACTAGCCTCCTTTAGCTCCTTCAGTCTAGTGTAGGCTGTGCCAATGTTCACTCTGGTCTTAGCCCTTTGCTTCGTCTCCAAATACATTATTCTCAGTTCCAGGCTCCGCCGTGATACCAACAAAAAAAGCAAACTTCTTCTTCTTCTTCTTGTAATTTATATTTACACTCTGAGAACCGAAAAAGCTAACTGTTAACATAACAGCTAACAGCTGTAAAGAGTGCCCCCTATTGAAAGTTGTTTACAATCAGGTAACGGCACAAATTCACACAATCTGGAGGGCAAGAACCCCGTCTGCAGCCATTATCCAGAGCTGTATCTCTGTGGCGCTTGAAATGGAACTGGCCTTGGGCGGCGCTTCTGGGATACGGTGCTGCGCTCCCCGTGTAGCCACTCACACTAACCATAATGTCTTCTATTTGTCTCCGGTGTGCCCCAGGCTTACGTCTCCTCCCTTTCCGGTTGGCTCACGGACCCTTGGAAGAACAAAAAAATGAATGCAAGTCAACGGGGCTAAAATAGCTATTTTCTAATCCGCTTTGCCTTACGCCCTGGATCGCACACATGCTGTGCTTCTGTTTAAATGAAATGTGTTTCGACCACGCCAGTCAGCTTGTAAAAGTTCGTAATTTGCATGACTACAAATCAGACATCCGCACGTTGCATAAATGATGTCACCGCATAATCTCCTCTCCCCTAGCGTAGCTGCTACATACCACATGGCCAGACCCATGGTGGTTCTTTCCTCCCGAAGGAAGGATTTAAAGTTTGCTAAACTTACAGCCATCTTTATCTCTGGTTCAATGACATCACTTTGGTGATGCGCATTTGTAGTCCTGGATGTATTTTCACACAAAACCTAAACTAACTTTTGCCTCCGTTCAAAAAATGAGCGCATTCTTGGCATCAAAATGTGTCTTTAAGTTTCACGGACATCATATGTGAAATTCATGCCACATAACGAGCAGAATTAGAAAATAGCATTTTTAGCCCCGTTGTCTGGAAGTAGACGTGCGTAACTTAGGCTCCTTATGGGGAAAACAGTGCTATTACTAATTAATAGCAGCCTGATGCTAGCACATGCTAGTAAGGCAAAAGCTAGTTATTTATATGTGTGTGTGTATGTGTGTGTGGTTGTGAAAATTCAGCTAAGATGTTTGCTGAAAACAACGCAGAAGCAAAAGGAGGCCTGAGCACTTACGTAGAAGGTAAAGATGGTGTAAATGAACAATGTGTCTGCTGCTATTGCTAATGTAAACCACTAGATGGCAGTATTACCCAACAAATGATCCTGCTTTAAAGAGCACGCAGCATGAAACGACTGAGTTTTGGCGTATAATGAACACCGCTAATGAATGACCTGGGCCTGTTGCTTAAGTAAACAGAACAGTTATGTGATCTCTGGTGTGGGAACACCTACCCCCGGAAGATCTGGGGATGGGGCCTGGATCGGTCTCCTCTGCAGCGTGACTGCAGATAAACATGGATGAATGGAATTCGGTAAGCAATTTTTTTCAATCTCTTCCCAGCTGTTTGAGGAGCGGGTGACTCTGGTGCAGCGCTGGTTTGACTTGTGGACCGACTCTCAGAGAAAACACCTACTGGACTCTCTGTTCTCACGCTGCTCCAATTCTCAGCTCAAGTAAGGGTGTCAGGCATCACATCTCTACCGGGAACCTAAAGTTCACGTCTAAAGCCTCTGACACGCCGGACAGGTTCTGCAGGGATCGGCTGGTCGAGACGGTCCCGGTGACCCGGGTGGACTTCACGGCTGTCCTGCCTCGGTTTTTATCCCTCCACATCATGTCCTTCCTGTCCCCTATGGACCTCTGCCGCACGGCTCAAGTCAGTTGGCACTGGAGGGTTGTGTCAGAGCAGGTGAGAGGTCCAGGAGACGGTTTTAAACACTTACCTGTTTAGAAACCGTCAACTGATCCTGTGTTTTTATCCAGGACTGCCTTTGGGCCGGCCGCTGCATCAGGAGAGGCTGGTTCCTCCCCTACACTCCTGGGGGAAAGGAGTTCGGAGCCTGGAAAAACCACTACGTGTCCTGCGTCTCCACGCTGGACTGGCTGACTCCACGAGAGGCGTCGGAGCTGTACGGGACCCTAAACCGGCCGAGCCTGGGGGTGACAGAGGAGGAGGAGGAGAGGAGGAAGGAGAAGAGGATCAGACAGAGGATCAGAGACGTGCTACAGGAGGAGAAGCGTGAGTCCAAGTGAAATACTCCAGGACGCTTTAGACTTGTCTCCCGTAAATGATGTGAAATCTGCAGGATCACTAATGAGAAACAGGAGACCATGGGGCAGCAACACAACGTCAGAAGGTGCCAGAGGTCCAGGGAGGTCAAAGGTCAGCCTCTGGTCTTCTCTCACCTGGCAGTCAAAGACAGACGAGTCCTCCAGCTTCAGTCCCAGTCCGGACGGAGGACAGGGCTCCCTTCAGAAGTCTGCTGGTACCAGGTGATGTCCTCCTGCAGGCTCCTCCAGATTAGAGCTGTTCTCAGGATCGGCTGTTAAGGGATCGAACAGGGAGGATGTTTTTCTTAGTGAAGGGCTGCAGCTTTTAGATTACTGTAGTAATGGAGTATTCTTTTGAGTACTTGGATATAAATCTAATCAATGGTGATTGATGTTTTCTCCTCCAGTGATGGAGCGTGGGATCCCTCTGCTGCCCTCTTGCTGCTCGTCTCCAGCAGAATCCCAGCTTATGAGGTTAAGAGTCAGGATGGCGTCAGTCATATACGCTACAGGGAACATGCAGAGACCTCTTCCTGTTTTTTCTCTGTAATCCAGCTGGTTCTGAGCGGCGTGAAAGCCGGGGTGACCGTCGTTCTGTACGACCACAGAGGGACTCTGTCTGCACTGTTACTCCAGGTAGAGGGAGCGGTTTCTGGGCAGCCGGCCCAGAGAGTGGGCCTGTTGGCTCCAGGAGGAACGGAGGAGGTTTATCTGCTTCAGGGTAAGACTTGATCAGGTTGTTCCACAGCACACTGAACCTAAAGTATCGAATCTTTCCTTTCTACTAGTTCTGTCTTTGATTCTGCACCGATGCAGACTGTAGCCTATCAGAGAGGACACTGCTGACCCCGGGTCACAGGGATTTCTGGGAACGATTGTGCACCTGGGTGCTACCAACTCGGGAAGGAGGAGGGATGGACATCTTCTGCCCACTGGCTGCATCTGGTATCTGGTAGCACACAGACACAGCCAGCATGCATAGGGTGGGCCCCTATGGAATATGTATGGGAAGCAGTGTGTTTCCATGGTAACCCTACAGGGGTTAGCCCATATAGACTTTAATGGGCCCTACATGGGTTTCTCAGAGGGACCCCCATATTCCATATAGGGCCACCCACGTCTGATGGCACCTCTGTAAAAACGGGCTGATATGCTAACTGTGCAGCATCGGGAGCAGCGCTCCTCCAGAACCTCTCCACTCTGACGGGTCTGGAGGTCCGAGCTCCACTGGGTCTGGCCACTGGAAGTTTCCAGAACAGTGAGTTATTTCACCATGAAAACAGCTTCTTGTTTCCTAGGCTGAGTCAGAGTTATGTGAGGTGTAACTTAGTCCTCAGTGAGTGGTCCAGTGGCGCTGGACTGGAGGGTCAGCAGCGTGCGGCTCCGGCACTGCAGTATGTGAGCGATGGCATTCTGCAGGCCTGGTGCAGACAGGCTGAGTGGATGGAGCAGGTTCTGGAGGAGCTGAGGAGAACTCTGGAGTCACAGCTCCGCCAAACCAGCCTGCAGGCCAGAGGCCGAGCTCTGGGTAGGTTTCGCTCCCAGTTAAGTACAAGCACACCCTTGCTGACGCGTAAACCAGAGTTTTGGTCTTTAAAGGTCATTTTCTGTGGGAGGAGATCCGCTTGGATAAGATCTGTGTTTCTAAGGAGCTCAGTGATGCCCTGACAGAAGGACTCACAGCTCTCACTGAACAGGAAGAGGTCAGAGTTCCTCTGAACTGGGTTTAAAATACAGCAGAGTCAGGACAAACACCTTCTTCACCTCTGCTCACACCTTCAGACCAGACCTGTGGAGTTTCTGTCCAACTTCCTGTTGACGTGGAGGAACGAGGAGACGCACAGAACCAACACTGGAGAGGATCCATCTCCAGCTGTCAGATGTGTAAACACATCCGATTACTCACAGGTGTGTGTGTGTGTTAGTACTTTATTCTAACGTCTAACTACGATCTAATGAATGTTTTGTTTTTCTGTCTTTAGATCGTTTTGGACCGGAGACATTCAGTCGTACAAGAGCTCCACCACAGCGAGTGCCTTTATGTGAGGAGGCTGAGCTCCATTCTCAAGGTGAACGTGTGATCCTTCAGCTTAACACATGAAAACAAAATCCCTAACAAACCAGCAGAAACTCTCATCCAGGGGTTTGACTGTAAAAGGTTAAGGTTGTTTGCACTTCTTAGATGTTCAGTGTGTGTCTTTGCCTTTTTGGTTTAAATAACAATACGATTTTGATATATTTTGTCCTGCAAGGCCACCATAGAAACATCAAATAAGAAAGGTGAACGTGTCGCTGATCTGATGGTGTTTGTTGGTGTTGAAGGTGTACCAGGAGCCTCTGTCTGCTGCTCTGAACTCCAACAGAGCCATCCTCAGCTACACAGACATCCAAATCATCTTCAGCCCTGTGACGGGATTAGTACAGCTGAACAGGTACACACACACACACACATGCACGCACGCTTGCACGCACACACACACTGAGAACAGGACGTGTGTTTGCATGTGTGTTACAGAGTGTTTCAGGCAGATTTACAGGTCAGGCTGCAGCAGTGGGGGGTGGAGCAGTGTGTTGGAGATGTATTTGTGAAGCTTTGCTCCAACCTGAGCATCTACACCAACTACCTGAACAACTACAGCACCGCCCTCCGTACCATCGACAAGGTAAAATCAGGCTGTGACTCTGCTTCGAGTCTGCTGACTCAGCTAAACCGTCACACTCAGCCTTCTCTGTTTGGTTCTAGCAGATCCTTATTATACACTCTAAAAAATGAAATGTTGCGTTCACTTAAAGATCAAGTTTACTCAGATTTTAATGCATTTGCAGTGGTCTCTACTAGGAATGACTGGCTTGTGAGTCATACTCGGTGGAAAAAAAAGCTCCAGTGCGCCTGTTTCAGGGGTAGTTGTCAGCCGGAGGAGAAAGTAACTTCAGATGATACAGAGTCATATTTCCTGATGTTCTGACGTCTCACCTCTGATTGGATAACAGCAACACAACTCCACCACTGGCTCCATTTTGCTCTGCAACGTTGATGTTTTATC